TTCCCAGAAACGGTAGAGTGTGTCAACATGAATATCCTATCATGTTTCTTAACATGGAAAACTTTATGTTCAAAGAAATATTTTAGGGGATAAACTACTTTTGCCAGATATTCTCAAAATGTTTTGAAATGGAGAAAATCTTTTTAAAAAGCTGCCAGTTATTTTCATAGATTGTCTTTTATGATATAAAGTGTTCCATTTTAGGTACTCGACCTGCTTAAAATTCCAAGTGAATCTGACTCACTTTAATGGGGTTAATATTTTTCTAAAAAGTGTTCCTCACGTACCATAGTGGACAAAATAATGAAATTGCCTTTCAGTACACCAGACTTGCAGTTTTCATTAATTTAAAAAAATCTTCACCGTTTCTGTAAAATGTATGCAGTTATTGTTAGTTCACTTTATTGGTTTTATATGGAGAAGTGGTGCGTACGCTCATTGACTGTGTATCGTTCCGTATATGAAATGCTAAACGTCTTATGCAAATTTGATTAACCAATTGTGAGCATGCGCACATCGTGCGGAAGTCACTAATGTAATTTAAATGTGTTGCATCGAGTGATATACACACACACACCTCTACTGTTATGCATGCTGTTATGGGTAAGTAAACTTTAACACAGACGGTTACATTGTAACAGGTGATTAATTCTGAACAAGATGCATCAGCAGAAACATTGACTGCAAAACGGCGGGTGATATTTCTACCGACACGATGTATTTTGTTTTGACAATTATCTCCCCTACCAGTTGTGTATGGTACACAACATCTCCATTGACAGATACAAAGTGGGGACGATTCCAGCATGTGTACGTCTGTTTTCAATGTTTTTGTCTCAATAATATACTTTACTTTGTATGGCCATTTCTGTTGTAATTGTCGCAATCGGTCTATTTTCGCTTTCTAAACGTTCTCTATTCTTCTACGGCGATTACCACTTTAAATGACCTGTCAGCAGAGTTCCTTATCTTTGTTATAATGCACAACTGATACGGAAATTGTATCCAGGACTCAAGATGCAGAACTACTTATTTTATATTGGTTATAAATATGTAACCAAAGAAAGAGAGTAATGTGCATCCACCAGGAATCAAACCCGTGATCCCAGACTTCCTAGTCGGACGCTTTACCACCGAGCTAAAGGGAAATTCCCTCTACCTTGAGTACAATTAAAATCTGCCACACTACTCCCCTTTTCTAAATATGTCGAATTATCCTTTAACACCACAGTGGAATGTGACCGGTACAAATGGATAAGGGGCTGNACTAAAGCAAGTCTATACTAACGATCATTTATTGAACAATGTAATTAACAAAGAATCAACCGCTTCAGATGTTTTCATCAAGTGTATATGCATTGACAAGTATAAAAAAAAAAAAGAGAATTATTTGTGATTTTAAATGTCTTTGGTCACTTTTTCCTAGATCACGCATATATCTATATATATATATCCATGTATACTCTCTTTCCCACTTTCACTGTCTTCATACGCTAACACTTTGTAAGTCAAATTAGCCATCACACACAATAAACATTTCTGGCAAAACCACTACCACGACGTGTACATGTAGAATATGTGTCAGATATGGAACGTGTTGAGATACTTGATAATTATATGTTTCCAATACTTTACAGAGATTAAAGCATACTTATTAATGGACTTGTTAATTTGTCAGAAACAGACGCAGACACAGACGCTGACGCAGTTACGATTTTCTCTCGTTAACTTCCCATGGCCAGTCATTTTGTTTACAATGAAATGGTGTGCTATATGCACTAGAAGAGGGGAAAACCTTGAACAAAACGTTGGTCAGACAGGTAGAAATCCCGATAATTATCTTAAAATTATTCATTTTTATGAATAAATACCGGCCAAATCTGACTCAATTATGATATTAGCATTGATCCTTGGGTCTGGCCACATCCCTAGGGACCTAGAAGTTTCTAAGTCACAATATGTAACTTGTAAACAGTTGAGATCACCACCATATATACAATTGCTGAATATAAAGAGACAAATGCACATATGCTTCCAGGATGGCTCCAGGGTCTGTCCCACCCTTGGAGACTTAACCCTTGGGTCATAACTTTGAAACAGTTGAGCTCCCAACCCCAAAACTATATAGTTAACAATACAAATGTTCCCCAATTTTTAGTACTTCTTGAGACAAATTTTGTCAGAAAAAACTACTACAATTAAGCAACCATATTGTAAGGACTTTTATCACACACGTACATGTATGCCTGTGTTAGGGTGTGTGTGTGTTAGGAGTAGGGAGTATGCATATTTTTTGCACAGGTGAGAAGGTAGTGTAAGAGACTGTCTTTTTTTGTAAATGGGACTGATGAAATGTGAAATGTGTTAAGTAACAAAATATAAGGGATGTGAATGCATTAACATTCTGATTATATAAATGAAATGTATAGAACAATAAAAGGGAAACAGAGCCTATATCTGAGCACACACACACAAAAACAAGGACTTTTATCAACTTTTATATTGAATAATGAAATTAAGTTAAACAGGTCATTGACGTTTTATTTTACACTTCCTGGAGCTAAGAATGCCTCTTATTGGGGGTATAACTATTCACTGCGATACTCGATTCACCATGCTATTTGTTTTCATTCTGGTTTTGGTATCAAATCCCGTGAAAAAAATGGTTCGATTAAGTTTCAAAATTTTGTTTGTCAGTGTCAATTCCCATATATCTAATGGTGTGTCTAATGGCAAATGGCACATGGCACATGGTACAGCCTAAGGCTGCAATGAAACATGAACATGGTGATACAAAAATATATATCACAATACTGTGGATACGATACGTATCACGATACTGTGGATACGATACGTATCACGATACATATAGTAACAGTACTAGAACAAAGAGAAAAAAGATGTGATGCAAATTTTTAATGGAAAAATTACAATTGGAAATAGACTTTGTCTAGAATGGTTTAAAGTTTCACATAATTCACGTCTTACGCCGAGCTGGATCTGTCATTCGCCATGTTGGAATGGATATGAATTGACTAAATTCAGAAATGACAAAATCCAGAAAATATCGTAGAAGTATCGCGACCTCCCAAAACGTATTGTGTATTATTGTACTGTATTCAAAATATCGTGATGTGTCGTCACAGGATAATATTGTTGCAGACCTTAGTACAGCCAATGAAAAGAGATGTAACTTTAACACGACAATAAACAGCACAAAATGGCCGCCACAAGTTGTCATAGATGTTGATCTATCTTTTGAGGTTTCTCCTGGACCAGTGTATCTATGCATATACTATTGCAACACCTCGTGTGTGTGGCCACATTTGAAGTGTTTCTTGATTTATAACTTTGATCATCAGAGCAAAGTTGACTTGTGGATTTAGAGTCATTTTCGGCAGTAGATCAGAACTAATTTAGCGGGACTGATCACTTATTTTCACTGGCATATCTGCCCAGAGGATCGCCCTTAAAGTCAAATTGTAGATGTTCTGATTTTTTTGGGGGAAAATCAGCACTTGCCAAGACTCGCGGTGGGTGTCTTATCTGATATAATTGCTCACATGCTTAGAACTCTGGTAAAGTCTATGTTCACAACTTTCCACATTCTTTAATAAAGAATCATAGCACATATGTCATTATTGTCAGCATACAAAGTATATTAATATGATAAATATAAATCACTCTGTCTGTCTGTCTGTCTGTCTGTCTGTCCGTCTACAAATTTTGTTCCTGGCTGATAACTTTGGTATTTATTGACCGATGTATATGAAACTTGGTCAAGATGTTCAGGTTACAAAAATACACATTGAGGTAAAAAGTCAAGGTCTAAGGTCAAGGTCATTAGGTTCAAAGGTCAAGGTCAAATTTTACATCTTTTCACCGATGAACATTTTGTTATGACATTATGAAGCAAAGTTGATAAGAATTAAACGAGGAGTCAACTGACCAAAGGTCAAGGTCATCTGGTCAGGGGTCAAATTTTGTAGCTTTATACTGGTGAACATTTCGCTATGAGATTATGAAGCAAAGTTGTTCGGAATTAAACAAAGAGACACACTGAGGTAAAAAGTCGAGGTCAAAGTTCAAGGTCATTAGATTCAAAGGTCAAGGTCAAATTTTGCATCTTTTCACTGATGAACATTTTGTTATGACATAATGAAATAAAGTTGATCAGAATTAAACAAGGAATCAACTGACCAAAGGTCAAGATCATCGGGTCAGGGGTCAAGGTCAAATTTTGTAGCTTTTTACTGGTGAACATTTCGCTATGACATTATGAAGCAATGTTGCTCAGAATTAAACAAGGAGTCAAATGACCAAAGGTCAAGGTCACTGGGTCAAAGGTGAAGGTTAAATTTTGTACCTTTTCCCTGATGAACATTTTGTTATGACATTATGAAGCAATGTTATTCAGAACTTAACACAGAGTCAACTGACCTTAAGTCCAGGTTACAGGGTCCAAATGGTCAAGGTCAAGTTTTGTATTTTTCACTGATTAACATTTTGTTATGATATTAAGAAGCAAAGTTGGTCGGAATTAAAGAATATGTCAACTGACCAAAGATCAGGGTCACTGGGTTAATGGTCAAGGTCATTTGTGTCCAAAGGTCAAAGACAAAGTGGATCTCTGACTTTGACCCTGGCTCTTGATGGAGGATGTATATAAGGTGAAATAAAACAAATCAAAGCTAACAAATGAGTATTGCACCGGTATTTACATTTCTGTTAGCCCAGCAAATATGGAAGTGGAAGGAAACACGACTCACATCATAGTACATGTAAAATGTATATTTTGCTTCCTTGCGATTCTTTTTGAAGTCCAAACGTCAAGCTCAGCTATGTGGACAGATTGCTTCTTGATGATTATGGGGGATATATTGCCACAAGACGGGGCACTTACTGACCTGTCAGTGTTCTAGTTCCTTCTGTTATTAAAATGATATTACTGTGTATGAGCATGCTCACAACTTTAAAATGTAATATATTATTTTGCTATCATGGACACAAACACCATTCAACGTATGGAAATCTTGAATCACATTTCAAAGTAAATTCAAAAGTTAAAATTAAAGGAAAACATGATACAAAGTGAATACATGCAGTAAAATATTAATTAACTATATTACTATATATACAACAGATCTAAGTAACTAATACATTGAGTACCCAAAACAACTCTGCCACACAAAAACAATGCCCTTAGATAATATGTTGTGCAGAAAAAGTGCCCATTTTCTGGTCAGCGTCTTGCTTTTCTCAAATCTTAATTGAAACACTCCAAATAATATGATCTTTAATATCGTTATACTTATTAAAAGTAATATAAAAAAATATTTCAAACAGGTTAATTTACAGTTAAAAACATGAACTTACTGTAAAAGTTGCTGTAAGTCTGAAATGTTACCTTTACAAATGTTTCTTGAAGAAAGTACTGTAATATTTTATATGGCCAATACATCCCATTTATCTAATCATTTTATCTTCATTTCATGAAATTTATACAACTTCAGAATTGAATGAAATAATAAATGTTTCAAATTGAAAAGATGTACCCAACAAAACCTCCTACGTTTCAGACATGGGATGACCAACCCAGCCTCTTTTGGTGGATTTGTCTGCTGACCATCAGAAAATTATCATGGAGGGATTTCTAAGTCCTTGACTGAAACGACCACAGGCACTGACCATCACAATAGATCTGTGTAAGTCCATTTATAATTTCAATTATATGGCCTTGTTGTAATTATAACAACCCCTCTAAACTGTGCTGTGCTGCTCCCCTGGACATACAGCGAGGCCTACACCTAGACATTTTTTTTCTCCATGTACTTCTTAAGACCAAGATGTTGATGCCTCAAATCTTGATTATCCCTTTAAAGTTGACACATTTAAGACACTGACCACTCCCTCTGACACATTTGAGACACTGACCACTCCCTCTGACACCTTTGAGACCCTGACCACTGCCTCTGATTCCTTTGAAACACTGATCACTCCCCCTGACACCTTTAAGACACTGACCTCTCCCCCTGACACCTTTGAGACACTGACCACTCCCTCTGACACCTTTAAGACACTGACCACACCCTCTGACACCTTTGAGACACTGACCACTCCCTTTGACACCTTAAAGACACTGACCACTCCCCCTGACACATTTAAGTCGCTGAGCACTCCCTCTGACACATTTGAGACACTGACCACTCCCTCTGACACCTTTGAAACACTGACCACTCCCCCTGACACCTTTGAGATACTGACCGCTCCCTCTGACACCTTTAAGACACTGACCACACCCTCTGACACCTTTAAGACACTGACCACACCCTCTGACACCTTTAAGACACTGACCACTCCCTCTGACACCTTTGAAACACTGACCACTCCCTTTGACACCTTTGAGACACTGACCACTCCCCCTGACCCCTTTAAGACACTGACCTCTCCCCCTGACACCTTTGAGACACTGACCACTCCCTTTGACACCTTTGAGACACTGACCACTCCCTTTGACACCTTAAAGACACTGACCACTCCCTCTGACACCTTTTAGATACTGACTACTTTCTCTGACACCTTAAAGACACTGACCACTCCCCCTTAGACATGTAAGTCACTGAGCACTCCCTCTGACACATTTGAGATACTGATCATTGCTTCTGATTCCTTTGAGACACTGAGCGCTCCCTCTGACACCTTTGAGACACTGACCACTCCTCCTGACACCTTTAAGACACTGACCTCTCCCCCCGACACCTTTGAGACACTGACCACTCCCCCTGACACATTTAAGTCGCTGAGCACTCCCTCTGACACATTTGAGACACTGACCACTCCCTCTGACCCCTTTGAGATACTGACTACTTCCTCTGACACCTTTGAGACACTGACCACTGCCTCTGATTCCTTTGAAACACTGATCACTCCCCCTGACACCTTTAAGACACTGACCACTAGTATTCCCTTTGACACCTTTGAGACACTGACCACTCCTCCTGACACCTTTAAGACACTGACCACTAGTATTCCCTTTGACACCTTTGAGACACTGACCACTCCTCCTGACACCTTTAAGACACTGACCTCTCCCTCTGACACCTTTGAGATACTGATCACATCCTCTGAACTGACCACTCCCTCTGACACCTTTGAAACACTGACCACTCCCCCTGACACCTTTGAGACACTGGCCACACCCTCTGACACCTTTTAGATACTGACTACTTTCTCTGACACCTTAAAGACACTGACCACTCCCCCTGACACATTTAAGTCACTGAGCACTCCCTCTGACACATTTGAGACACTGATCATTCCTTCTTATTCCTTTGAGACACTGAGCACTCCCTCTGACACCTTTGAGACACTGAGCACTCCCTCTGACACCTTTGAGATACTGACTACATCCTCTGACACCTTTGAGATACTGACTACATCCTCTGACACCTTTGAGACACTGACCACTCCCTTTGACACCTTTGAGACACTGACCACTCCCTTTGACACCTTAAAGACACTGACCACTCCCTCTGACACCTTTGAGATACTGACTACATCCTCTGACACCTTTGAGACACTGACCACTCCCCCTGACACATTTAAGACACTGAACTGAACACACCCTCTGACACCTTTGAGACACTGACCACTCCCCCTGACACCTTTAAGACACTGACCACTCCCTCTGACACCTTTGAGACACTGACCACTCCCT